AAAGTTTTCCCTGGAGATAAACAAAAGACAAAAAGACATAAAATAGAAAAGGAAAAAACCCTAGAAGATGAGTATGGGAATTTCAATATGAGATGTGAAGTTAAAGACAGAGAGAAGAGAAAATATAATTGAGCAGAAATTATCAGAGAAATTATTCCAGACATGAAGAACCTAAATATTCAGATTGAAAACTGTCATCACAATGAAAGAAGAGACCTACCACAATTCACATTATTGTGAAACTTCAGAATACTGTGTATAGTATCTCCAAGACAATATTGGATGGGAGAAGATAAGGGAGTAAAGTTTTCAAAATTCTGAGGAGAATTTATTTTCAATCTGGAATTCTGTAAGTAGCCAAACTATCAGTCTTATATACGTATAGAATATTTTTTTAAACATGCAGGCTCTCTAAGTACTTGCTAGTCCATGCATCGTTTTCAGGAAGCAAGTGAAGGCTGGCCTCCATAAAAATTGAACGAAGTCAAGACAGAGGGAATTAGTTATTTGATTCCAGAAATAGCTAGTCAACACAGACCCAAGTACAAGTGACAGGAAACCACCAGGATGATTTTTAAATGAAATTCCCAGGACAGCACCTATGCAGTTGGTCTCAAGAATAAGCAATTCCAACTGGAACATGAAAATGAAGAGTTAAAAAGGAATACCTTCAGGAAAATAAATTAATAGAAAAGGTAGCCTTCCTGACAGTTTGGGCTCTGTGGAAAATTACACTGAGCGGTCTTTTTTTATGGAGTTGTTGAAGAATGTTCTTAAGACTTAGGATAAGATGGAAGAAAATCGAGCAAAGAAAATGATAAAGTCATCATCACAGAAAAACAGTTATGCAGAAATGGAATTATACTCATTATAAACCACTTGATTAAGCAGTGAATTGTTACAATAATGAAAATATTAGTGCTTAACTATAACTTAACAATAAACTGAGAGAATAGGGAAGGAGAAGTAGGAATATAAGAGAATTAAGTCTTCATTGTCTTATGTTAAAGTCAATAGTTACTATCTTAAAGTTGATGACTTGAAAAGAGCAATATTCCTTTATTATTTAGAAATGTACCAGAAAATAGGGGAAAAATATTTAAAGGCGTTACCTCAAAAGAGCAGTATATTGGGAAAATTCGGCCCTCATGTCAAGGCATAAAGGTTTGCTGATAATGTTGTTATAATTCTTTTTACTATTTGACTGTTTGGACTTTGAGAAATATTGAAATTATTTTAAAAAATTAAATGAAAGAGGAAGTCTCAGAATTCTAAAGACCAAAGTGTTATTTTTCTGCTATTCATATATCACTGATTATACAATATGCAGATACAACCTTTCTGATATCACTTTTCATTTGTGTGATTTCATTCGTCTGCTTATGAAATGAATTAATATTTTATATATCTGGGCTAAAATCATACCTTCAAAAGTTGGGAGGCATTAAGGTTTTTTTTCATAAAAGAAAGGGAGTTATACAACTCTGAAATTTCACTTAGGGAAGAACTAATTGGCAAGCTACATATCAAAGCATGACACCTTTTAAAAGTTTTAATGGTCAAAACCTCTCTTTTTCAGAAGCAAATTTAAATAGCTCACTCAGTTTTCTTCATTTGCAAATATTATATATTTCATTTATTATGCCATTGAATTTATCTTCCTGAGAAAAGCACAATACACATTATGAAGTGACATATATAAGACTAGTAGTCGAGGTTTGCACTGTTATGTTTATCTATTTTCCAAAGAGGGATAATTTTTTCTAAATCATTACAATATGTGGTAAGGGTTAGGGGGGTTCAGGCCTATAACAGAGGTTTTGGCCAAGTTTCCAGACACAAATACTTTATTTAAACACTTCCTGTTACTTTTATTTTTTATGAAGCCCAAATTTTCACATTAATAATTAAAAACTGTTAATAGAAACAGAATATCTTATATTCTCTCTTATCTCTATTTATTTGTTACGTTCTCTTTCCAGCAAATCAATATTTCATGGCTCCCTATAGTTCTCAGTATTTTTCATCTTGCTCTTTCCCCTAAGATTTCCATAAAACTTCCTATTTCCTGCTCAGACCTACTCTTTTTCTTGTCACTTTGGAAAGGAAGCACTCTAGCCAAGAATTTGAACTGTGCCTGACATTCAAGACCTGTAGAAAGAAATTTAGTAATGTTTCTTGACTTCAAGGCAAGTTTGACTCTTCAGTGTAAGAAACAATCATGTAAAACAAAACCATGATGGATTCAAAACATGGTCTACATTTCATATTTGGGGCAAAAACGCCTAAAACAATAAAAAAAATTAAATTAGGTATTTGTGATAGACACCCATCCTCTATTTCCAGGGAATATTCTTCAGTGAATATATATGCAAGCCAGTCCCATGCAATATCTGTCCCAAAATTACTATACAGTAGGAATTAATGTTTAAAATAATCCCTATGAAATTATAATTAAAATTGAAATTTAATTTCAATAGCATTAAAAATGGGAATTGGACTAAAACTGAAAAAGGGAGGGCTGAAAGAGCACTTCTTACATTAATAAGTTGTTTTATCAAGTCTAGCATACATTAACTTTTGATTTTGTTCCTGCTGACTTCCCTGAATCTCAAGGTAAGTTTAGAAACTAAAATCCACGTTGTTTGAATCAAAATGAGCTAGGTTTAAGAACACTAGACCTAGTTCTAGATAGGCTCAGGCCATTCCTCAAGTCCAGGGAACAGCTAGAGATTGGTAGGACAGATCCCATCAAGGTCTTCCAGAGAACTCAGAATTGATCCACTAGAACATTAGAGTTTCAATGCAAGCCAGACCCCAATTTTTCTTTGTACATGGTGGGTACTGTGGGCTAAGAAGAGCTTTAATGCATTGGAGGACTTTATTGCTGCTGCAGAAAGCTTACAGGCCATGCTAGGTAAACTCTTAAATTTTTTGTATGCAATTATTGACCTATCTTCAATACTTCTGTACCTAAATCCACTGACATAATGCTAGCCTACCTTATTTTACTTAAGATCTCAGCAGCATTTGACCAAGTGTATTAGACTCCTTCCTAAAACTAAAACACTTTGTAAAGCATACTATTTCAAACCAGGGCTTTCTTCTGGGTCTTGGTTAACATGAATTCACAGTTAAGTCCTACCTAAACAAATATGTTAACCTCCCCTGATTTTCCGATGGTTACATTCAATAAACTGCACTTCTATCCGGTAGATCAAGCCGGAAGACTTGGAACCAGTTTGGCCTCTTTTCCCTTCCAATAGACCTTCACATTTTGCTCACTGTAATTCTTAAATACCCATAAAGCCCAGCTATGACTTTCTGTCTTTCCCACTGATGTCTCTGTTATACAAATCTATACCCTGGCACCCAACTGGCCTCACTACTCTTCTCTGTTCTTGTCTCTCCCTCTTAAAGCCTTTTACTGATTTGCCTTTATGACAAACTTTAGCCTCTGCATATGGTCACATTATTTTCAACCTGCCCTCTCCATTTTTTCCCTCACATCAGCTACTTTAGAGCTCCCATCTCTTGTTCACCTGCTTCCCCCATACTGCTCCTGCTTTCTCCAATCTTGTCCCCTTCTTCTTGGCCTGATTACCTCCTATGCTTCATCTGAGTATTCCTTTAAATGCCATTTCCTCGGAGAAGCCTTTCTTGCTTCCTAATTTAATTTATTAAATGTTGTGACCACCTTATCCATGTGCTTAGGTTCTGGGTTTACCCTCATTTGTAACTATGCAATAGGCTGGAGATGCCAATAGTTTTAGAAAGTAACACATTTTAAAATGAAAAAATCTTATCTATTATTTATAAAAATCAAAGAAATCTAAATTACACATCTCAATTGCACAATTAGGGACTAACAGAACATTAATGTGGGCTCTAAAATTTGCAGTGGCCTCAATTTTTTATAATATTTTTAGTATTCATTCAAGTGGAATTCCTTACCTGTACCTTTAGTTCAAAATCAATCAATTAATTTCTAGTTAAATCGTTGTTTGGGACAGAATTTAGGATAGATTAAAATTCTAATACTTACCAAAAGATTCATATTGATTTTTTAATAATTGTATGTGGCCAACAGTATTAATGGGAGCAGAGTAAAATAGATTTTTTTAAAGATACCTTAGGATGACCATTTGAACAATTATTTTAACATACTGTTTTTTATTCTCAACTGTATAGCATAATAGTATCTTAATAAAACCTTAATTTCTCTGTCAAAACAACTTCAAAAGGTAGGCAAAAGAGTATCATCATTTTCTTTGCATAAATAGGGCGTTTAATGGTGCACTGAAACCCACCACCTATTAAGTTATTGATCCAGAATTAGAATCTAGGTCTCCAAGTTCAGAACTCTCTACTATCCATCCTACTCATGTGTCATAATCCTGAAAACTCAAGGTATTAATAACTTTGCAGTAACAATGCTCTCTCCAGATATTCCTATTTCAAAATGCAAATAATTCTATGAAGGTTGCATATTAAAACTTGCCTATGTGTGAATTAATTTATCTATAATTTTCCCTTAAGACAGAGGAGCTCTGGGCTAGGAGAGATTTGTAGCCAATAATGGGTGGCTGGAAAAAAAAGGCTATCAGAAAAATAGAAGGATTGGATGCATTAAGACCACCTCCATATAAAAAAGACTCATTCTAACCAAATATGTTCTATTTTTTAAAGTAGCTCTTTTCTAGCCATATGTAACTGGCATGAATAAAAATAAATTGGTATTTTGATCTGTCTGTTCCCAATAGTTACAGCACCTCATATGTGAATAGCACCATACAATTTACAACATATCTGTATATTCATTACTCAATTTGATCTTTGCAACTGATATATGGTTTGCTTATTGATCGATGAGGAATCTAACTCTCAGAGGCTTAATAGTTGAAATAAAGATCAAGTCTCCTTCTTCAGGATCCAAAACCTTTCTTTCCCAAACCCCACATGCTAAGGCTCATAGAGCATCATTCTCAGTGGATACTTACATTTCATCACACCTTGAATTTCATAAACAGGCTTGAGAATCAGGGTACCATAAAAGTCTTTAGGAAATGGATTCGTTGAGTCCCACTTATTTGAAAAATCTGTAAGTTTTACAGTTCGTGTTCTGTTCTTGGGAATCTTCCATTCAACAATCTCCTTTAGAGTATAAATACGTTCATCTTCACACTCGTAGAATTCTCCTTCTTGTGACAAAGGCAAATTAAATGAATGATTTTGATGATTCCTTACCACTGCACAGCTCACCATTATATTTCCATTGATCTCTTCAACTGAGTTGAGCATGATTTGCTCACCTTGCTTTATGATGAGGTTCTCTAGTTTTATATCCTTCTGATGATAAAAGCAAGGATGCCCTAGTCTACTTGGTCCAATATGAATGGTCCTTGTGATTTCTTCCATAGTAAGGTACGGAGTTTTATCAGCCACAATCTTAAAAAGACCTAATAACAGAAGTATGTGAATTAAAAAGAGAGTTCTTACAATGAAAATTCTCACAAGAGAATCACAATGAGAGAGTTAAAACACAAATAGCATGTACATTTTTAAAGTGATACTGTTTTAAAGATTAGAAATGCTTGTTTTAAATCAGAATTCTTCTAGGTAAAATTATGAGGTATTGATTATAGATCACTAGATCATACGACCAGACATTACAAAGTAAGACAAGGTGAAAATACCTTGAAATAGAAAAGACTGTTCTTGGAAATAAGAAATCTGGATGAGATACTGGCTTTGTTCCAACTACTCTGTGATCTCACGCAAACCTAACCTCTCAGGCACATTTTAAATTTTTTATTTTTAAAATGAGAAAATTCGATTTGACCAACTTTTTAATGAATGTATTCTCTAGACACACCAAAATTAAAAGATATTCCCAAAGGGAACCAATTTCTAGTCACATCAATCATTAAAAAGCTATATAGCTGGGCCTGTAATCCCAGAACCTTGGGAGGCTGAGGTGGGAGGATCACTTGAGGCCAGGAGTGTGAGATCAGCCTGGGCAACATGATGAAACCCCATCTCTACAAAAAAATACAAAAATTAGCTGGGCATAGTGGCATGCACCTTTAGTCCCAGCTACTCGGGAGGCTGAGGTGAGAGGACTGATTGAGCTTGGGAGGTGGAGGTTATAAAAAAAAAAAAAAAAAAGCTACGTAGCTTGGACTAGATAGATGGTAGTGACAGTTGTACAATATTGCAAATGTACTTGATGCCACTGAACTGTACACCTTAAAATGATAAAGTTCATGTTACGTGTATTCTACCACAATGAAAAAATATCTGCATAGGTCCAATTAATGTAAGACTTCTCAGAAACTTTAAATGTACTGTGACTCTCAAGAGGAGAATATGAGATGCAGAATTTCCCAAATTTCTTTGATTATAAAACTGTTGAGGAAAACACACATTAATAAATCACAACATAATATATCACGTAACACTCCTTGAAAATACCAGGTTCTGTAGTTATTCTGATCTGACTGCTCTTGACTATATTTCAATCATTCTTCTCATTTTCTCTCATTACTTCTGTAATTTTTTCATTAGAAAATTGTGCTATTTTCGCTATTCCACTGATATCTATTTCACTAATTTCAGTATTTGAAATGTTTTCTCTGATTCTATCAGGATAATCAACTACTACAATACATTTTTACTATTTAAGATATAGCTTTTTGTACATGGGATGTCTAAGTGGTTCTGTTTGATTTATTTTATTTTTATTTTATGGGCCACATCTGCTTTGCTTCACTTTCAGAAATTCATTTATTAAATATATTTTAATAAATTCCAGAGAAAATGAGAACAAAGAAGAAATTAGTTAATTGCATTCTTAACCCAAAAGTAATTAATAATATTATACACTAGCATGCTCTAAGAAGATAGTTTTTTAAAAACTTAGTAAAATTATATAGCCTCAAAAAATCATTTATTATTTCATCAACAAGTATATTCCAGTGAAATTCATCTATATATCAAATAATTTTTAACCTGATTATAGTGTCTTTTTAATAATTTTTGATTACTTTTCAAAGATTATTGTAGTCAGTTATTTTTGAAGTCTATTTTTACTCATACAAACAGAAGGAATTTTGGTGATTTTTAGATATAAACATCCTGAAAAAGTGTGAGAGAGGCATTCTTGGCAGAAATGAGCAAGGTAGCAAATGCAACCTATGCCAAAAACTTTTAGAAAAGGAACAGTGTTCATTCACTGCATTGTGTGCCTGACTAAAAAAGGGAAAGACACATTTACTTTGAAGGAATTTCTCATTTTATTATATCTCGTATCAGGGAGAATTCAATAAAATAGTGTTCTTGAATTCAGCTCAGTAAACGAATTTGTGTGTGTGTGTGTGTGCCTGTGTCTGTTTAATCTCATTTGTCTGTGTGTGAAGATTTATTTCTAAGAGTCCACAATCATTATCAGGAAATAGAAAATTCAGCAGATTTTGTAAAATAAGTTTTTTAAAAAATATAGCTACCTAGAATCTCATACAAGGTAGAGACACATAGTTTTATTTCTATCCTAGCTATATCGATGACATAAGTCACAGAATTAATTTGGTGTCATCTTTCTTGGGGAATAGAGCTCACCTAAGGTAATAACAGACCTAAAATATGAAGTAGGAAAAAGCTAAAACCCTCAGGTCCACCATTATTTCAGTTAATCACACTATTCAGAGCTGTCTTGTTGGATGTCTCTGTTGTGAGAAAAATGTGTCTGTGAAGCTGTGTGCTTTTCCTTAAAAGATGATGAAGTACACAGTTTAGCATACTAAGTAGCACAATGTAGGAAAAACATTTGATTAACTTATCTCTTCATATACTATTGCAGCCAATCCAAATAATTCTTTCTTTAAAACAGCCACTGAAAGCCATAAAAACTAGGGCATGTTGTTGCTGCTTTTTTTAATATGATGCCATATTGGAACTTTAGCTTCACAGTGAAGAAAGTTAAATATAAATTAAAGCACCATTGGGACTGATGAGATCTAAATGTGATGAGTGTTTTTTTTTTTTTTTTTTTTTTTTTTTTTTTTTTTTCCATCTTTTCCTCGAAGTGTACAGTAGTTTTATACTGGGGAAATATGCTTTGTTATTCTTCCAAAAAAAAAAAGATAAGACCCATTCCAAGAGTCGAGTAATCAAGTTAGTAAAATAAGCCAATATGCAACCTTTATTAAACAAGTTAACAGGAGAAAATAGATGTCTATTTCCCCCTTAAATTGTTAGATCTTTATTATTATTATTATTTTGCTTTTTATTTTTTTGAGATGGAGTCTCATTCTGTCTCCCAGGCTGGAGTGCAGTGGCATGATCTTGGCTCACTCCGTCTTAGTCTCCTGGATTCAAGCAAGAACCTCAGCCTCCTGGGTAGCTGGGATTACAGGCACACGCCACTATACTCAGTTAATGTTTGTATCTTTAGTAGAGATGGGGTTTCTCCATGTTGCCCAGGCTGGTCTTGAACACCTGACCTCAGGTGATCTGCCCACCTCGGCCTCCCAAAGTGCTGCAATTATAGGGGTGAGCCACCACACTGGCCTGTTAGCTTTTACAAGGAATTTTATTTTTTATTTTTGAATTAGGAGACATTGTTCATAAAGAAAATGTCACTTACTAACAAAAATCATGGGAAATGCAATAGATTGAGCTGTTAAAAGTTAATTAGTAAATGAATGTAGTCTTTCAAGTTTTTCCCTTGAATCTTAGGTTTTGAGGGAGTTTATATTTTTAACCCATTCTTAATGATTTACAGTTTTTATTAACAGTATTCACAGCAACTGAAATTTGTTTAGAAATTTACAAGTTTGAAAACTTTCTTATATGCATCATTTATCCTTATAATAATCTTTTGAGGACAATGAAAGAAATATTACTACTATTGGGGGATACAAACATGTCACAATTTTTACAGCTGGTAGTCATAGTTCTGGAATCTCAATCTGAGCTTTGACATCCAAGTTTTGCACCCTGCCACCAAGCCAGGCTTGCCTTCCTGTTACATGTACGACTTACAAGGACATTGCTCATGAGAATAACATGTTTATAGGTCTCGCCAACCAGCCCTCTCTTTGCATGGATCAGCCTTCCCCAGACGCCACAGTATGAGAAGAACAATAATAATCTCCTGGTCCTACTTCAAAGGTTTTGATAGGTCATTTCATGCACACCATTTCAATCTGAAGATGAATAGAGATACTTGAGCTAAAATTTCTAATGGAAAACACTGGATTTGGGGTAGTCTTGAAAAAGATAGATTTATAGAATATGCCAACCTAAAAATTGCCTTAGGAATATAACACAATGATAGAAAAAGCACAAGAAACATGTGAAATGAGAAACGTATAATAACAAGGATGTTTAGGTTGGCATATTCTACAAATCTATGAAAGCAAAAAGTTCAAAACCCTCGAAGTATTGGAATATAAAATAATAACGGCCTGAACTGAGAAGAGTCTCCAGATTTTGGTGTCAATTACAGATCACTGAACATCATCAATTAATGCGTGACTCCAACAATCTTCATAGAAGAGTCTTTGAGAGCAGAAATAAGCAATATGGGGAAAATCAAAGTTTGGGATAAAGAAATGTACACAGTAATTTAACTGAGTATTTGAGAGGGAAGAACATATGTCAGACATGGTGATCATGTTTCTTAAAATGTTGGGGGAAACTAAGTGAGGCCATAGAATGCCTATGTTCAATTGTCTTTACATTAATAATTGAATTGGGGCCAAGCGCTGTGGATCATGCCTGTAATCCCAGCACTTTGGGAGGCAGAGGTGGGCAAATCATTTGAGGTCAGGAGCTCGAGGCCAGCCTGGCCAACATGATGAAACCCCATCTCCACTAAAAATAAAAAAAATTAGGTGGGTGTGGTGGCGTGTGCCTGTAGTCCCAGCTACTAGGGAGGCTGAGGCAGGACTATTGCTTGAACCTAGGAGACGAAGATTGCAGTGAGCCGAGATCGTATCACTGCACTCCAGCCTGGTCAACAGAGTGAGACTCCATCTCATAATAATAACAATAATAATAATAATTGAATTGAAACTGTCTGTAATCTATTAACAGTTTTTCATATTCATTTTACCTAAGGAGGTAAAAGAATATATAATAAAATCTTTCAATTAATTTTTACCTCTTTGGTTCAACCACTGCACAGGGAAAACAAACAAACTGCTTCCCAGTTAACATTTAAACTCCTTGAAAGGAGTGACTGCAAAATCTAACACATTTGGGATGCTTAACAAATAACTTACATTAATAATGTTAGTTCTTAAGATCAAATGACATAATCTGATATCTAGGCCTAAAGCTTTATTGTAATCATAGCTTATTAATAAACGTGCCACACATCATACACACTTGTTCATATTAAAACCTTCTCTCTCCTAGGCAGTGAGAGTGAGTAATAGACCTATGATGAGGAGAG